CTAAGAGCACCAAACATGGGAAACCACCTACTGGTTTTGGATATGTAGAGTCCTTCGATTGCGTGAAATGTTATTGCAGGACTTCGATCGCAGTCATGCACTGATCCTGCGAAAATCTTTAGGGGAACCTTGGAAGGCTCATGATAGACATAGATATTGTTTTCGATATCCAGGAAGAGGGGGAAAGACATGAGAATTTGGTTTCCATTTTTTGATAGACAGAACACACGGGCGCAGCACATGAGCACATGGTTGACGTTATTTTGCTCCCGTGATGGAGTGATAGTGGATTGGAAAAGGAGTGAAAGGTCTACGTAAGAGGGTTTATATAGACATCCCCGTATCGCGCAACCAGACAAAAAAGAAACATGTCTGGTCTTTCGGTTTTTCTATGGAGTAAAGTACCCGTGGCCATCCTGGTGAGCCGATGATTTTCAATCCAACTGTCAACTTAGAAAGGCGGGCAGCCGCCAAAAAGTCATTCGGCATCGTAGTATATCTTTTTTGTTGAACGAGAGAAGGCGCGACAGAACTCCATAATGATTTCTGAATGGCACTTTGGAAGAGAAGCAGGAGTCGACACCATGGCTCATTCATCGTCGCTTTGAGTGAAATGAAGGAGTGGAATGTCAAAGTAAGAAAGAAGAGGAGAAGAGCAGAACTAGATAGCTTTTATACCAGCGAGAGCAGTCCATGTTCATTCCCGTCAATTCATTGTGTGACAAATGTCTCAACTCTCTCGATCATGGGGGGTCCGTAGGCGTCTTTTGCTAAAGAGCAGAGCAAATGCTCACTCACTCCATGCACGACTACTTTCTTGTTTTTGAACTGCAGGCTCTGTCGCAACGAAGAACACATCGTGATAAGTACGGAGATTTTGTAGCAGATCATACAAAGTGATCCGATTTGTTTCGGCGCATTCAAACGATGCCGGCAAGTTTTGGGAATGGTGGAAGGCGACCGTGGGAAGGCGGGACATGCGCACGGACGGCCGCGCTTTTGGAAGTTGACACACAGGACATGTTCGTCTCGCAGAATGTTTTCGATTTGTTAAAACCCCTTCTCCAATCTCTTCATACACAAAACAGAAGTTGGTCTTTGGTGCTTGTCAAAAACATTGTAGAAGAGGGGAAATGCGGCGGAGTGGAAGTTTGAAATCTTCTGCTGGAGCAGTGCCATGCGGCGATACCTTGCATGTTTTTGGAAGCATTGGATCTGGTGAGATGGCACTCTTTCGGTGAGCCCATGAGGAGCTGAGCTACTGGTCTTTTGGGGAAGTCAAGTCCAAGAAAAGATCTGGACGGATGATACATGACAGTTCGCGGTGCTCGGATGCTTTTGTAGGCCTTCATTGATCAGAGCAAACATAATCTCAGAACCCGGGTCTTTTTGATAGAGATGCGGAAGGTAAGACGCAACTCATAGATATAGGTGCTCTCCGTTTTGGAAAGACGAGTACGAAGTATGTAGTATAAGAGACAGCAGAAGCACAATGACGAGAGAGAATTTATATAGACAAAGACAGCCAAGACGGAACGATGAAAAGTGATGTAGAAGTCCAGCATCCTTCCCCCACTCAGAGCAGTCTAAACACCTACAAATGCCGCTCAACGTGATCACATAACGCAAGCAGACGCTACCCACACAATGAATGACATGACGTGATATCTAACGCTCAAAACGCCCTCGACGCCGGGTATAACGCTTCAAGTCCCATCATTCAAGATCTACGGCCCGCCCTTTGGAGACTGACGGAATTCCACAAAATTGTACGGCACTGCACTCACGCCCACGTAGCGACCTTGTTTGGGATCGTATACAGCGTGCACACTGACCGTTATCTTCGCTCGCTCGCCGTATACCTCGACGAGGCCCATCACCACGAAGGCGCCGCGCGGGACCGGGTGTGGGTACGGTTTGAACGTTCTGCGAAAGTCGGCCTGGAATTGCGACAGGTCTAGTGTGAACTTCTTGGGATCGATTGTGACGCGGTCGAGGTCCTTGGTAGCGCCGTCGACAGGTGCGACAGAGGGCGACGCACCTGGCTGCTGGGTAGGTGTCGCAGACGTGGAGAACGGGCGTGAAGTGACGCTCGTCGTGGGGTTCGCCGATGATCGCGGGTTGGCGCTTATTCTTTGAACGAGCTCCTGGACGGTCTCGGTCTTCGATTCTGGACTCCAGCCCATATAGACTTTGAATCCTTTCCATGAGCTTCCTAGTTTGCTTGTTGTGTTGTTGTATAGGGCCTTCGCTGCCTCCTTGGGATAGAATAGCCGATTCAGGCGGTGGTGAACAGTGCTGTCGACTGGTCGAGTTGCCTTCCGCAACGTTCCATCCTCCAACAGCTCTATCCCGGGCTGTTCGTATTCGTTGGGCGTGGTGTCTGGAAACTTGACCTCAATCCACACTTTGCCTTTGCTCGTGTCGATTTTGCCGGCTTTTGCGACGAGAATTGGGTGCTTGGCGAAAGCGTTGCGTACTCTGTATACTAATTCTCCTGTCACGTTGTCAGTACATGAACCACATGCTCGGACAAGGATATCGTACCTCGTATCTTGTCAATCCTTGGACGGTCTGTCGCCAGCTTCTTGAACTGTTGCCATTCTGGATCTGACCCTTTCCAAAATCTCTTCGGCTTTAGCCTCGAAAAGCCGGTGGGTATGAATAGTATAGGGTCGTATTCTTCGTCGTCGTCTTCGTCTTCATCGTCTGCTTCTCGGCCGACCGTTGTCCACCCGCCGTCGTTGACCTCTTCAACTTCAACACTTATGCTAATATATCTCGAGATTCCGTAAATGGCCGCTCCAACAGCGACGGCACCAACTAATCGTCTGTGGACAGTTAGCACATGGAAAGTACAGGGGATGTGTGAAGCGACTCACGACCTGCTGAGGAATGGTCGCCCTATACGCACTCGTTGTATTATGACTCGCTCGTGGCCATCTCGTGCTGCCGATCGGACTATGCGCGCATGCGGTATCCGGTTCAAGAGGGAGAAGTTGCGCCGAAGCACCAGTGGCGTAGACATTGGTCTGGCGCAGGCGGAAGCGAGTGTTATGAGAATGAGGAACGCAAGATCAAGTAGAGAGACATTTAGGTCTTTCTAGAACAAAGAATGCGCGTGAAGCTGTACGGCGTTAACAAGTGAATGCGGTTGATAGCGCCCCACGGGTTGTATCACTGATAGTTGCGGGCGGAGGTGAGGCAGGTTCGGCGCTAGTTCCGTCTAGGTCGCAGCGCAGCTCAGGATGGCGATGATGCACCTGCATCATCGCAGAACGTCTTCAACTCCATCCTCACCGCCACCATGAAGCTATCCGGGGCCTTTGTCGCCTCATCGCTGTACTGCACCGTCCTTGCAGCTCGCCCCACCGTCAGTCCCGAGACTGCGCGTCTCGTCATCGCCCAGCGCCTGGGCCTATCGCGATTCCACTCCGTCGAGCACCCCGACGCCGAGACAATCAGACACATCAACACGTATGGAGGAAGGCACCAGAAGCTGTTTGGCGCAGACGATGCAGAGCAATCCAAGGCGCACCTGCTGATGTGGGTGGAGGGCGCCGAGCAAGATGAGGCAACAGGTGGGCATACGTGACGACAGCATCGCGAAGGATACGACTAACCGGAGCTCTCAGTCATCATCAACGATGGATCAGACCGCACACACGACTTTGCGATATCGAGTGCGCCATCTGTCGAGGACAACGAGCGCCTGGTCATGGACTTCATAGCACAAGCCAAGTCGCTGCCGGAACTCTCAGACCCCCAGCAACGGACATACACGTCCAACTTCGACATTGAGTCGGCGCTCCCACCGAACGAGAAGTCGGACGCCTACAATGGCTACCTCAACATCTGGACCACCGGCACGAAAGACGACCTATCGACCGAGCAGATTGCCCAGGTGCTGAGCAGCGTCAACAAGAAGGCCGAGGAGACGGGCTTCTCCACGACTGTCGTCATGATGCCGCGTTCAGCCAAGTCCAAGTCCAAGCGCGCTGCCCAACCGTGGGGCGCCTACGATGTCCCCTCCAAAGAGGCCCGCCGCCAGAACCCCGAGGCAATCCTCTCCTCCCAGCCCGTACCTGCGGTCTCCAAGGTGCCTGACCTGGAAGACTTCCCCGTCGTCATTGCGGCCGACAACAAGAAGGGACCTGTTCGCGGTATCCTTCCTAGCTGCTTCAAGTCCATGTCGGCTTGCGAGACTCAGACCCACAACTGCTCCAGCCACGGCGAGTGCAAGCTCCTCCACAAGGGACGTGGATCCGGTTCCGGTCAGGAGACAGTTGACTGCTATGGATGCGCCTGCGCCGCTACGGTCGAGCACAAAGACGGAAAGGGTATGGAGGGCCAGAGAAAGGTCACCTACTGGGGCGGCCCCGCTTGCCAGAAGAAGGACATCTCGGTTGAGTTCTGGCTCTTTGTTGGTGCCGGTGTCACTCTGGCCTTCTTGATCTCTGCTGGTATTGGTATGCTCTACAGCATGGGTGCCGAGGAGCTGCCCAGTGTTATCGGTGCCGGTGTCAGCGGTCCCACGAGGAAGTAAGATCTCGATATGTGTATGAACTGGGGGAGATAAGAGAGAGAAGGAAGATCGAGCATTGTATATCTGGTGTACGACAGACAGTCTTTGTTAGTTAGCAGTATGGGGCTTGTACTCTATGGGATAATGGCGTTTATAGCACTGCAATTTAGCATTTGAACAAGTTGATACAAGTTTGACAGAGTTGATCATCTGCTCAAGTCCACTAATTCGACTGCAAACGATGATGATAACATGGTGATTCGCTCACGTAGCTACTGATGTGTAGCTGTCCAGTATGCCTGTCAGATGTCTCAGACGCCATGTTCCTGAATACATTAAAACTGAACGTCTGAGACACATCACAGGCGTAATGGATAGCTACACAAATGCTGCAAAGGCCATGACCCTATACATTTTCAGTAACCCCATGTTCGACCCCTAGAAATAAACGCGCATCATCACAGCTTTACATTCCTCATGCCTTGGCCTTCTCCACTATTACACCATCGTCGCTCTTGGCCTTCTCCTCGTCCAACTCCTTCATGAACTCGGACTGTATGCCAGCCCTGCGGTTCTCCCACCATTCCTTCTCTGCTGGTGCCTTGGCTGTGATCTCACCGAGACGCTCGCGGATGTGGTTGTTCTGTGCCATTTCTGAAGCGGATTGGAAGATGGTCTGGCCCCAGTTCGGTGCGAAGGCATTAGCCTGTCTCAATATCAGTCATGCTCAAAGAATTGCGAAGCCGTCTGACTTCGATCTAGACTCTCAGGACTCACCTCGTTGACGACATCCCTGAGTTCCTCCTCGATCTCCTTCTCTGCCCGCTGGAATCGCTGCCACAGATCATCGCCCACGCTACCCCTCTGCAGCAATGCCTGCAGCGCCTGCTTGGCGTTTCTTATCTGGACAATCCTATGTATGTCTTCTGTTGCGCGACGCAATAGCGCAGCCTTGAGTACGCTGTCCGGCACCTTGGGTTCGTCCATGTGTAGCAGGGAGAGGTAGACATTGCGCTGGAGATGTGTGGGGAACCAGGGTTCGAGGGATGCGGCGTTGGCGGCTTGACGCTTGCGGTAGAGGTTGGTGAAGACTGTAAACGATCCGGCGAGGATACCGATGTAAGCGATGGGCACGGTAAGCATTACCCAGTCGACCATGTCGAAGGGCCACATGGTGAATGTTGTGTGGGTTGTGTGTGGTTTGTTTGCGCGGAATGTGAAGAGGTATGACGAGCTCGCGATGCGATGCAGGCGCTGACGTTAGAATATGAAGGAGCGACGGTGTTCTCAGTAGTGAGATATGGAGTAGGTGAAGACCAAGAAGGAGGGCGAGTCGCTGTTGTCTCACTTATCGATACATTCGAATATCTGTCCAGTTCCGCGCCTGACTAGCGTCCTTCTAGCGCGTCTGCGTCATTCATGTCCGCTCCGCTACAGGCGCCTTCTCGAATCAATCACCAACACCAACCAAGGTTCACCACTGCACCTCGCCTTTGTCTACTTATTTCTTCTGGTCGCGCTTCCCTCCCAAACCTCCTCCCTACAGCCTACCACCTGCATCACCTTTATCCACTCCACCACGAAATTCATAGCGTTCCGATCATGATATTGAGGGTATGTCTTTATGCCCAATGCAGGTGATATCTTACTAATTCGCACCAGTTCGTTAGCAAAGACGGCCAGTTCCGGTTGACGGTACAGCCCGAGGACACCTTTTCGTCGATTCTGCCCCAGGTTGCCGAGAAGCTGCCCAAGAATGTCGACATCCAGAGCATCAGTGTTAGCAACAAGCCGCAGGGAGGCGACGCGAGGAAGCTTGCTGGCCTTGAGGGCGTAAGCTTCAAGCAAGTGGGACTATCGTACGTAGCTTACCCAAGCTCGGCTTCACGGCTAACGATACTGTAGAAACGGCGCGCAACTCTTCCTGTCCTTCGAGGAGCAGTCTGCGGCACCGAACGGCCATGCTGCACCTTCGACCGGCGGCGCACGACTGAATGGCAAACCCGTCGAAGAGACCAACATGGGCTCCGTTCCCATCGGCGATGCTCTGCAAACCATAAAGAACCCATGGGAGGTGGTCAGGCAGTCCCCGCTCGACGACAGGCTAGACAGACAGGATGGCAAAATCCCTAGGAAACGCGACGCTCGCATGTGTTCCCACGGGCCCAAGGGCATGTGCGACTACTGTATGCCCCTCGAACCCTACTCGCCCGCATACCTCGCCGAGAAGAAGATCAAGCACCTATCCTTCCATTCATACCTGCGCAAAGTCAACTCGGCGAAGAACAGGCCAGAGCTCGGTAGTTCGTACATGCCACCGCTGACCGAACCCTACTACCGCGTACGCCCCGACTGTCCATCGGGACACAAGCCATTCCCAGAGGGTATCTGCACCAAGTGCATGCCTAGCGCCATCTCGCTGAAGCCACAAGAGTACCGCATGGTAGACCACGTCGAGTTCGCTTCAATACAGGTGGTGGACGATGTGATCAACTTCTGGAGACAAACGGGCTGTCAGCGACTGGGCTTCTTGTACGGCAGGTATGAGGAGTATACCGAGGTGCCGCTGGGAACAAAGGCTGTCGTCGAGACCATCTACGAGCCACCGCAAGTCAACGAGGCGGACGGCATCTCGCTAGGCGAATGGGACAACGAGAAGGAGATTGACGAGATCGCCGCACAGTGTGGGCTGCAACGCGTCGGAGTGATCTTTACCGATCTCCTCGACGCAGACAAGGGCGACGGCTCTGTCATCTGCAAGCGACACATGGACTCATACTACCTTTCCTCCCTAGAAATCTGCTTCGCAGCACGGTACCAAGCAAGATACCCCCGGCCTTCCAAATGGAGCGACACCGGACGACACGGCTCCAACTTTGTTACATGTGTAATCAGCGGTGATGACCAAGGTCAAATTGGCATCTCCTCATACCAGGTTTCGAACGACGCCGTTGAGATGGTTCGTGCCGACATCATCGAGCCCTCAGCTGAGCCATCAGTTATGCTTGTCCAATCAGAGGAAGACAACGAAGCCTTGAACCGCGCGCGATACATCCCCGAAGTTTTCTACCGGAGGATCAACGAGCACGGTGCGAACGTACAAGAGATTGCCAAACCCGACTTCCCCGTGGAATATCTGCTTCTCACACTAACACACGGATTCCCTACTCAGCCAAATCCTCTATTCACTGGTGGCAAGTTCCCGATCGAGAACCGCGAGGCTATGGGCGAGATGCCAGAGATCTCACATCTTGGCAAAGCTCTCAACGCAAGAGCCAACGGGCTGGCGCTCAACACGACCAGCGGCCTCAGTGCCATTTCAAATTTCCACATGCTATGCTTTATCCATAACCTCGGCATTCTGTCAAAGGTGCGTCACTGCAAAACTGCATGGATATCTTGCTAACTGTACGAATAGGACGAAGAGTCACTACTCTTCAAGGTAGCATCAACGCACGACACCTCAGAAGGCTCAGCGCTCCAACATACCGGAGGCTGGGCAACCCTTCTGACCATTCTCAAAGAAAGTGGTGAGCGCCCCCCGAAACGTTCTTATCAATCTTCGCCCCAATCCCAGTCGGCCAGTAGGGGGGCTGCAGCTCTAGACCACACCCGCGGTACGATGCGACAGTCCTCCTATGGCTCAGATTCCGATTCAGTACAGTTGGCTAAGAGGGTAAAGGGGGTTAAGCTTGGGAAGTAGATTAGTCTAGGCTAGTCACACTCCTGGGGCGCGACCTCTGACACCATAGGTCTGTAACCCGAGCGACAATGGAAACGCGCATGAAGTCCGGCTGTGATGGGCATACTGGTGGTCTTGAAAAGCTTGGTATTAGCTGAAGTGCATGCATTGCCTGGCGTCGTCGCAGATTTCTCATATCTGGTGATCGGTCGAGAAGAACCAAGATGTGCAATATATCCGTTGAACTGTGTTTTTGACATCTTCTGCGGTGAGACATGTCTGAAATCATCGCTTGCTCTATGTGAATTGCTCAACCCATCTGAATTGTTAATAAGAACGTGTGTTGTGGAAAGTTCATTCGGTATCTGAATCTTTGAGCATGATTGAGAAATGGCGAACTGTTTTGTATGCCGCGATGATGATGTGGTTAGAGAAAGAAGACGTGGTCTGTGCAGAAACGTGAGTTCGCGGTCTCGCGTCGACGCGTCGCACTTTAGCAGTCCAGCTCAACACCCCAACCCCAACACCTCAATCTCCACACAACCACCACAATGGCCGATTTCTTCAACGTAAAAGCGAGGCAACAAGCCGCTGCAAAGGCCAGCTCATCAAAAGCGCCTACGACGAAGCAAGAGCCCAATCGCATGCAGCCATGGGTTGAGAAATAGTACGAACGCAACACCTAAACACACCATTCCGCACCCTCACTAACAGCATCACAGCCGCCCCAAAACCCTCTCCGAAGTAACAGCCCAAGACAACACGATCCAAATCCTATCCCGCACCATGCAATCCTCCAATCTCCCGCACATGCTCTTCTACGGCCCGCCAGGCACGGGAAAAACCTCTACGATCCTCGCACTCGCCAAAGAACTCTACGGCCCCGAACTCATGAAGTCGCGCGTCCTCGAACTGAACGCCTCAGACGAACGTGGCATCAGCATCGTGCGTCAAAAAGTCAAGGACTTTGCGCGCCAGCAACTTAGTGTAGCGCCCACCTACAACGTCATGACGGAGGACGCGAGCAGCGGCGAGACAAAGACAGTCCGGTACAGGGATAAATACCCGTGTCCGCCGTTCAAAATCATTGTGCTGGATGAGGCGGATAGCATGACGCAGGATGCGCAGAGTGCGCTGCGTAGGACTATGGAAACGTACAGTCGTATGACGAGATTCTGTCTCGTGTGTAATTACGTCACGAGGATTATCGATCCGCTCGCGTCGAGGTGTTCGAAGTTCAGGTTCAAGAGTCTGGATCAGGGAAATGCGGTTAAGCGTGTGGGCGATATCGCGAGGCTGGAGAATGTGCAGTTGGAAGAAGGGGTCGCGGAGGAGTTGGTCAGAGTCGCAGATGGCGATTTGCGGAAAGCAATCACCTTCTTGCAGTCTGCGGCTAGGCTTGTGGGCGCTGTTGTTCAGGCTCAGGGTGCGGGGGGCAAAAAGAAGAAGAAGGTTGTTGCTGAGGACGACGAGATGGATATCGATTCTGCGGCGGCGCCAGCTCAGACACCTGCTGTTTCCCTCCCCATCATCGCCGAGATCGCGGGTGTGCTACCGCCAGCTACGCTATCCTCCTTCAGCGACTCGCTCTTCCCCAAGTCATCGGCTACCAAGTCGATACGATACAACGAGATTGCCAAAGTGGTGGAGAATATGATTGCAGAGGGGTGGAGTGCGTCGCAGACTGTGGGTCAGTTGTACGAACAGATCATGTATGATGAGAGGGTTGAGGATGTTAAGAAGGTTAGGCTTGCGGGTGTGTTTAGTGAGACGGATAAGAGGCTTGTGGATGGTGGGGATGAACATCTTGCTGTGTTGGATTTGGGGGTCCGGGTCGCGGGGGTGCTTTGTCTCTGAGGGAGTAACAGCGCTGTCATGGGGTTTGTGTCTCTGTAAAGCATACTGCTTGCGGGACATGGAGAGACGTATTTGATGGAACAGTAGCACTCATAGTAGCGTCTTTATTTACAGGATCAAATAGAAAGCTACATTACATTCGTATCGTATCGTGTGGGGATATCTCAAAAAGGATATACAAAGAAAAAACATGCAACAACACACGTACTCCCACTCAAAGCTCGTCGTATAGCGCTCAGCGCATGGAAGCCATCGTTCTCGTCATTCGGTCGGGCCTAGTTCACCCAACATCCAAAATATACTCCACTTTTTCCCTACACATACAACTCCGAGAAATACCCGTGAAAAGATGAAGAAAGAATGCGGACGGATCGCAGCGTAGTCTCATCAAACGTCTAGTAGCGTGCATCGTTATCAGACTATGCAAAGATGCAGAATCCGGCTCCAATACTGAACATGGCGATTGCGGCCAGTGTCTCCGTCCTGACCGCGAATCTGTTGCCAGTAGACGGTGAGTTCGATGGCGTAGCTGAAGCGCTGGCTGGAGTTGCAGAAGACGCTGTGGGTGAGGCGCTTTCTGAGGATAGTTCAGATGACGATGGCGACACTAGATCGGTGATTGTTGACGCCGACTGCGATGTCTTAGTAAGTGTGGTCTGTGATGTTGACATCGACGTGGGGGTGAGAGAAGTATCGCTGGCGTTGGAAGACAATGACGCCGGTGTAGACGTAGACGCAGATGCGCTTACAGAGGTAGACACGGATAGCGACGACAAAGATGATGAGGCAGAAGAGGAAGCACTCACCACCACCGTATCCGTACTCTGTGCCTGACTCACAACACCCGCGCCCGCTTCTGACGTCGCAACCGCAGCAGCGGGATACAGCTCCGGCAACAGACTCTTGACATCTCCGGGTAGTTTCTGGTACCAATCCGGCTCCAGATCGCCTGTTGGCATGGGGGCGTTGGGGCCCGCGGGCATAGCTGTTTTGAGCACTGATAAAACCGAGAGGAGTGTTGGGTTCATGGTTGCGGGATCAATGGCGCGGTCTTGGAGGTTGGGGAATTGGATTGCTGATGCGAAGGTGCCAGTGGAGGCGAAGGCTATGAGGATGGAGATGAACTTCATTGTCGTATAGAGGTGTGCGGTTTGGGGGTGATTGATATGGTGTTGAGATGGGTTGGCGTGGTGTTGGCGTGGCTGGTAAAAGAATGTGGGGTGATTGATTATTGTTTGGAAGAATAATGAACGAGCGTGGGTTTTCAGCGAGAGCGAGTGTCGTGAATATAGTAGGTTGTTGTTGACAAACAAACGCGTGCAGTGGAGTCACTTCGATGCACGACTGCGAGCTTTTTGCGCGAGATGACGTCGAATCGGGCGGGGAAAGAGTGCTCGGTCCCTCTGTTCAGTTTGACCGTTTGGGACGTTGAGAAAAAGAAAGTATCGTTGGGAACCGTTCGGTCAAGTCGTTATGTACCCGGGCTTCCTGAGCCGCCGTAGAAGTAGGAACGATTGTATGGCGCTTTGCTGGCGAAAATTCAAGATCGCAAGACCGATTGGAACGTGCAAAATTGTCTTTCACTGCGCTTGTAACCGTCTGAAATGGGGCAATACGATGATGGTGCTGCGCGAAGCCGTGTGTACGTCCAATGAGTGACCAAGTGACGAGATGTTTGATAAGACTCTGTGCGACTGTGCCACAAGAAAATTAAGTGACCTTCTGACGAAGACGCGGGTACGAAAAAAAAAAGATGCGAGATGCGAGTTCCAGCGCGCTCGAAAGAGAGATGATCAAAGCAGGTGTTGAGATGCCTGGTAAACAAAAGCAAACCGCGAACCAGATTTGAAGCTGAGGGGAAAATTACCGAGCGGCTGGGTAGTCTGGACATGACATCTGAGGCATCGACCAACCCCAGCAACATACGTTCCGTGTCGCAGCCTTACCTCAGATGCGAACTCTCTAATGATACTCGCCCCCCTGTGCCGTCGGTTGTTGCAAGTTCTGACGTACTTGCGCGCTAAGCCTCACCATATCGGCGGCCATTGAAACATGCTCGTTGTTTCGGAACATTTCACGAACCGAAACGTGCGACGCCTGATGAGTACTCATGAGAGTAAGGTACGGCGAGGGAACTGTTCTTAGAATAGTTCTTGCGGAGTGGCAGAAGTTTCTCCAGTGAGTGAAGTCCAAGTGTTGGCGCACATGCTCGCGATGGAAGGATTACAAGAGACTCGGCGGTTTTTGAGCCATTTGCCGGCGGCAACATTGTGTCACTTCGAGGCCATCTTCCGGCTTCCCGATCATGTCTTCTGTTTGCTCCTCGTTTGGGCTGCATCAAGCTCGATTCCACGATGGAGGCGGAGAAAGAGACTGGCCGACGAAAGGCGCACAGGAGGACAAGTATGGAATCGGGGATGAAGCAGCTAAAAATCACCTCATCGCATGTCAGCGCTTTGCGTTCAGTATCATGCTCCTCTGACTGGCCCATCCATCCGTAGACGGGAAGTTACGCGTCCAGGAAGCCTTCTCCCGAGCAGTGTTCACATGCGACCCGTCCCAAGCTGGAGGTGTGCCGTCGGTGGTTGCGGACTCCGGAGAATGGAGAGAGTTGATGCGAGCGCAAATGAGATGGAAGACCAGGGTTCCCCGCGGAGGTGCTATCCCAAAGCAGACGAACCTCGGCATCCCTTCCCACGACGCCACGCATGATGTTCGCTCAGGTACGAACGTGACAGCGTGCGATTGTCAACTAAGGCAGGTGCTAATCCACACGGCGTCTTTGGATAGGCTTGGTGCTTGGGCGACCGGCATATAAGATGCACTGCACATGGCCGCCCCAGCTAGGACGGTATCCACCGCTACCAATCACCACAGCCCCGCGATAGCTTCGAAGCTCTTCTCACGACGAAGTCGGATCGTACCAAACTACAGTTCTACCAACAAACACACTAGGCAATATGGCAGCTCCAGCAAGTGCGGATATCAAGAAGCTCGAGGGGAAATGGGTCATGGTAAGTTTCGAGCAGCTTTCAAGGCATATTGTTCTCTGCATACCTTCATCATTTCGTGCATCGCAACATCACTCTAACGCATCATAGAACAAGTCCCTCTCGGATGCGTTCGACGCCGTCCTCGTCCTGCAGGGCATGGGCTGGCTGACG